TCATTCATTCATTCATTCATTTATTTATTTGACAGGCAGAGTGGACAGTGAGAGAGAGACAGAGAGAAAGGTCTTCCTTTGCCGTTCGTTCACCCTCCAATGGCCACTGCGGCCTGCACGCTGCGGCCAGCGCATTGCGCTGATCCGATAGCAGGAGCCAGGAGCCAGGTACTTATCCTGGTCTCCCATGGGATGCAGGGCCCAAGCACTTGGGCCATCCTCCACTGCACTCCCTGGCCACAGCAGAGAGCTGGCCTGGAAGAGGGGCAACCAGGACAGAATCCGGCGCCCCGACCGGGACTAGAACCCGGTGTGCCGGCTCCACAAGGCAGAGGATTAGCCTAGTGAGCTGTGGCGCCAGCCAATCCCAAACATTTCAAATAAGGGATACTCAATCTGTACTACACTCCACTATTTTATTTTTTTTACTCAATATCTGTCAACCAGATAAGCAAACTGAGTACCGAATTATTGAACTGATCAAGTAACAACTAGTTTCATAAATTGAATGGTTATTTTAAGTCCTAGAAACCAAGATTCCAACTGAGTTTACTTTTAATTACAGTAGATACATGCCTGCTCTGACAACCAATTGCTCCACACTGGACATTATTTAGAACATTTACTATTTAAGAAGACTGCTTAATAAGTCATCACTACCAACATTATTTTAAAATGATATTGAAAAGCCAGAACATACCTTCTGGTAATCATCCTCCCAAAAATTTAGGAACCAGTTAAATCAGATTGCTCTCATTTCCAAATACATATGAGTTCTTTGCACTGCTATTTAAGAATTATTTGAACTACTACATTAAAGTATGCTGCTTTTCATACTTGAAAATAAGGAAATAGTGTTAGAGACATAGATTGCATAATGGGCTTTAAATAAGTTGTGGGAATTAACTTCTATATTTTTATGAACCATTATTTCATTTTACTATAAAGTATCCAATAGATGTGCATGGGAAGAACATTTTTATTACTGATTTATGTAATACTTTTCTGCATGTTAAAATTGATATGTATCCAATATCAAAGATTGAATACATTGTTTTCTTTACTACTGATCTTAGCTACAAGTGCACTGGCTTTATAAATATAAATATATATACATATGTATAATATATATTTACCACTAGTTGTTGTTTCTCTCAATCAGAATTTGTAGAGAAAAAAAAATGAGTGTCATTTTTAAGCTGTAAAGTAATTCATTATTCAATATTTCTTCTATAAGAGGATTTTGAAAGTATATATATATTAAAGATTTTTAAAAAATATTTATTTATTTGAGAGTTACACAGAGAGAGAGAGTCTTCCATCTGATGGTTCACTCCCCATTTGGCTGCAAAGTCCTGAACTGCGCCGATCTGAAGCCAGAGCCAGGAGCTTCCTCAGGGTCTCCCACGTGGGTGCAGGGGCCCAAGGACTTGAGCCATCCTCTGCTGCTTTCCCAGGCCATAGCAGAGAGCTGGATTGGAAGAGGAGCAGCGGGATCTTGAACTGGCACCCATATTGGATGCCGTCACTACAGGCCATGGCATTAACTCTTTGCGCCACAGCACCAGCCCCGATATATTACAGATTTTTAAGACCAACTTAAGACTGTGAATATTAGTTTAACCTCAAGTGTATAAAGTCACTGGTATAGATATTTCCATAAATGAAGAATATGTATCCAAAGGCAGTGCTTAACACCTGTGGAATGCTTATTAGTCCTTACTGTTCTTGTGCTTGTTCTTTATGGCTTAATGTGCACCAGTAGTCTTTGTTTCACTTTAATAGAGAAAATACATTCAGATAATTTGAGTATGTAATTTCCTTAAGAGCAGAAAATCCTTGTTTACTGTTACTGCGTATCCCTATTGCTTAAAATCAGTGCTTCAAAAAAATGTTCAATTAATATTACCAAATGAATTCTGGTTTATTCAGTCTTAAAATCTCTTGTGGTATCTGGTCTTTCTGTGATTCTGAAGACTACAAAAAATAGACAAAAGTCATCAAAGTAGGTCAGAGGGAATGATTTTATGGCTTCTAGTTAAATACTCTTTTCCTTTTAAACACTCCTAATTTTAGCTGGATTTATTGTCAGAAGCAAAGGGAAATGCTGAAAATGAGACTACTTTGATTAGTAAGAAAAACAAAGAAAAATGTTGAGAGGATCATATTAGTCCTTACAAATGGTACAGTTATGCATCTAAGTGCTGCAAAAGTTGAAGCCAGCGTTTTGTATTGTGAAGTGTTACATTTTTCTCAAGTTTTTTATAAATGGAAGGTCTTGAGAAGGACTTTTATTTTTAAAATAACGGTAAAGCAGCTAATTTTCCTAAGAGTGATTAACAGTAGAAATACTTTGGGGCAGCCGGCGCCGCAGCTCACTAGGCTAATCCTCCGCCTTGCGGCGCCAGCACACCGGGTTCTAGTCCCGGTCGAGGCGCTGGATTCTGTCCCGGTTGCCCCTCTTCCAGGCCAGCTTTATGCTGTGGCCCGGGAGTGCAGTGGAGGATGACCCAGGTGCTTGGGCCCTGCATCCCATGGGAGAACAGGAAAAGCACCTGGCTCCTACAGCGCACAGGCCGTGGTGGCCATTGGAGGGTGAACCAGTGGCAAAAGGAAGACCTTTCTCTCTCTCTCTCACTGTCCACTCTGCCTGTCAAAAAAAAAAAGGAAATACTTTGGGGATTATTTAGAAGAAGAATATTCTAGCAGATATTTGTGTCAAATTGTATATAATCAAATAACATCAACTATAAATATAACTCTTCCTAGGTATAGAAAAATAATATTTCCAAGCATAAAAACTGTTTCAGTAATTAGATTTTGAAAAAAGTTAAGTGATCAAATGAAATATATACATGTTTACAGTTAATTTCTGACTTTTAAAACTGGTAAATTGAAAAGTGATTTTACATTTGGCCATTTTTGACTTATTTTTAAGACTGAGGAATTGGGAAAATTATTTGCTCTGGTTGATAACCATACGCTGTCAAGTACAATGCTGTACTTAACACTAGAAGAATAGCATTATCTATGTTTATATGTATGTAGTAAGTTCTTTAAGGTATGTTGTTAACTTCTGATATTAAGTTTTTCTCTACAGTTTACTATGATATCAACCATCATTTTCATCTATTTCACATTAACTGATACTCAAAAAATTATAAATGAGAACTTAAACAGTGGTAAAATCTACTTATTATTTTCATGACATAAAACCATCAAATAATGATGTCTTTTTCCCCGATTGTAATGTTTATTTCCTTGTCTTCTTTTGTAGAGCTATATTCATGGGAGCAGCCAGGCTCAGTTTGTGGCAGAGTCGCACATCATTCTGGTACTGAGTATCCTTTAAATACTGATGAACTGAAAAGGGCAAACCCAAGCTCATGCTATCAAGTTGATTTTTCCTCTTGCAGCAAATAGCAAGAATTTTAAAAAACATTACATTTTAAGCTTTATAATATTGCTGATTTTCTTTTACCTATGCTAATTATTCCTAGTTTGTTATGCATTTGTTATGTTGAATCATTAACAGACTCAAGGTTTCTCTTTTGTATTGCTGTTGAATTTCAGAGTATTGCTTTTATTGTGCATAGATTGACTTTGGCTTGATTTTTTTTGTGATGTTTATATAGTTTTCCCTTCTAGCTTCTTAAAAAATAATATATAAATAGTTACATAAAAAAGGAATTATCCTAATCTTGTCATCCTTGAATATGTAAATCAGAAATGGAAGGGTTAGGATGGAGAGCTCTCTTTGAAACCTTCCAAATTTAGTGTTATGAGTGAGATCACATGGTGAAATTTGTGATTTGGGGTTTGGAGAGCAAAGCAGAAGAGAGCAGAGCAAGCAGGTGAAGTTTTAGTATCTAGCAGAAGAGAGCAGAGCAAGCAGGTGAAGTTTTAGTATCTAGCAGAAGAGAGCAGAGCAAACAGGTGAGGTTTCAATATCTAACTGAATATTCTTACAGTGAAGTAAAATTAATGTTTCAGAAAAAATAGATGTATTTAGGAAGAACAATTGTGTGTGTATGTGTGTGTGCTTTGTTAAAATTGGAAGTTGAATTTATAGTGTGTTGCTGGCACACACTGAATTAGTATCAGAATTTAAAGGGTACTTACAGTATCACATAAAATATAATTATGATGCTTAGTAAGATTCATATTATGATGATCTAATGAAGACCAAATTTCTCAATATTTTATGTAATGATAGTTATAAATCTTTAACAGTCTCACACTTCAGATAGGCCAAACCCTCATTTTATAGGTAGGAAAATTAGAATCCACAAACTTTGGTGACTTGCCTTAGTTTAGGAAAATTGGGATTTGAATTCAGTTTTCTCATCCAAGGTCTGTTGATTGTACAGGCATTTAGCATTTTCTGTAATACTGACTTTGAAAGATTTTACCTGTTTGTGCATCACAGGTGAGGAAGTTAAATAATTGCGATTACATTTACAGGAATATCTTCTCCTTGTTAAAAGATAAGGATGAAACAATGTATTTTTATTATTAAGTGTATATATGCCCTAAAATATATTTATCTTAAAGCAAATGGTAAGAAACACAAATTGTTGCAGGTGAGTTTTTAGCCTTCATTTACATATTGTGGTTTCCTTTATGTCCCCCACCCCCACCCCGAACTTGTTTCAATCTGTGGTAGAGCATTTTAGCAGTATACTTTATTCAAAGCAGCAAATCTATTAAAGCACATCAGGAATACCTAGCAAAAGGAATGAAAAGCTGTGTTGAGACCATCATTCCATTGTACGGCAGGAATTCTCCAAGGTTTCATTTCATGGATCATTGACATCAAGCTGAGATTTAGAATGCAAAGAAATTTTGCAAGCAGTATGAAGCCTTTGATAGAGACTTTAGTAGTAATACATAAAAGGATTAAAATGACTATTCTATTTATGCTACCTAATTATATGTTGCTTCATTTCTGCTATATTGTCTTTATTTTAGAGATAGCTGTCACAGACAAAGAGAAAAATTCTTTTAAATGGTAGAATCATAAATATTATTAGTAAAAGTTTAAAAGAAGTTATTTCAAAATAATTTCTTTTACTTTTCAGAGTCTACTGATTTTTTTTTAACTTACTACATTTGTTTTTGTTAATTCACATGTGTCTTTTTCCCCTCAATGCATAAAAATAGTAGATTGTAGATGGTTACTTTTTGTTTTCTCTGGAGAATATTACTACCTTTTGGTTTTCCCCTTCTAATTTAGTGAGATCATTAGATGCAGTTGGTATATACAAATAAACAAAAATACCTAAGAGAACAGAGGGAATAATTTGGTGTGATAGGTTATAGATTCATATCTGCTATGATTAAGGCTTTTCTCTTTATCAGTACCTTTTTATTTTCTCAGTAGCTTATCTAGGGGGAAAAGAAGAATCTGTTTGAAAAAGGAATGAGAAATGTTATAATTTAAACATGCAATATATGTGAACCATCATCTAGTAGCATATAATGCTTTGTGTTTTCCCTAATAAAAAGTTTATTATCAATTTCTTTTTATTCAGTCATATATTTTCAGCACCTGATACAAACATGAATATAGCTGTTTATAAAAAGTGACAATATTTATAATCCAGTGACATATGCCATGATCATTGCATGCAAAGGAAGCAGTAAGAGAGAAGGGAAACTAAATGCCTAGAGAGTTGACTATTAGCTGGTCTAAAAATGTAAAAAATTTTGGAGAAGCAGAGTAAGTGAGAAATGGTCTTCCAATGGAAGGTACAAAAGAGTAAATAGGTACAAAAGAGTAAATGGAGAGTAAGTATTCTTTAATTATAGAAATATAAGAATTTCATGTAGGCTAACATACAATACAAATTATAGATTTTTGAAAATTCCTTAGGCCAGATAATGAAAACCTTGCTAAGCGATTTGAACTTTATAAAGGTAACAGATGTACTGCAGTTGATAGGACAATTCCATGTATTTGGAATTGGTTAGTGTCGCTCCCCCTCTTCATGGAGGAACGACACAGGACCCTACGCTGTTCTTTCGTCTGCTCGGCCCTCCCCGGGTTTGCTGCTGGTTCTTCCCGGGTTGGCTACTGTCCCTTCCACCTCCGTGGAAGGGCGGTTCCCCCTGCCACATTCCCCACTTCCGCAGGGGAGCGGCACACTGCCGGCCGGCTCTCTCGGGGGCTGCACAGGTGTTCCCCTTAGATGTTCCCCTTAGATGTTCCCCTTAGATGTTCCTGGTGCATGCCGTCTCTCTCCTCCCTTATAGTCCTCCTCCGCCAATCCCAACTCGGCTGCCCACACGCCGAGTACGCTGCTCTCCTCCAATCAGGAGCAAGTCCTACAGTTTATTGGCTGAACTGGAGGCAGCTGTGTAGAAGCTGTTTTCTTCTCTCCCAGCGCCATATTGTGGGAGAGCAGATGCATAGAATAAGTCTTAATTCCAGTAACTTAGTCTAGTCCGAGTTGCTCCCAGTTGCTCCCCACAGTTAGCCCTGAGGGGCTTCATAAGTTTGGCTTTAGAAAGGGAAATAGTGTCATGTATATCTCAACCCTGTTTAAGCAACAGAAAGTCAATGGGAATTTGCTCTAGTAGCAATGCTAAGGATAAAGTGGAAGAAAGAGAGCAGTGGAAGTGGGAGGCACTGGCAATTGTCCTGATGCTAGAGGATAGACCTAAACTAAGGTAACAGGTGAATGACCAAGTCACTGTTGAAGGGAGGAATTAGCCAAGCTTGATAGTAGATGTCACCAACAGGGTTCAAGAAAAGGAATCAAGATGACTGAAGTTCAGGTAGTTTTGGGGAGGTAGCTTAATAATCACATTTAAAAATAATGGGAGTAATCATTTAGTTCCTATTGTATTCTTAAAGCATTAATGGCAGGCGCCATGGCTCACTTGGCTGATCCTCCTCCGCCTGTGGCGCTGGCACCCCGGGTTCTAGTCTTGGTTGGGGTGCCGGGTACTAGTCCTGGTTGCTCCTCTTCCAGTCCAGCTCTCTGCTGTGGCCCAGGAAGGCAGTGGAGGATGGCCCAGGTCCTTGGGCCCTGCACCCGCATGGGAGACCAGGAGGAAGCACCTGGCTCCTGGCTTCAGATCAGCGTAGCGCACCGGCCGTAGCGGCCATTTTGGGGGTGAACCAACGGAAGGAAGACCTTTCTCTCTGTCTCTCTCAGTGTCTGTAACTCTTTCTCTCTCACTAACTCTGCCTGGCAAAAAAAAAAAAGAACGTTCAGGTGTCCAAAAATCCATAATATTCAGGCTTAATGCACATGGATCCTAACTGGAATGTTATTAACATGCAAATGCACAATGAAAACCATAATATCTTGATAGGTTTATGAAATTTATTAACATGGACTTACATAAAAACACTTTATAAAAGTTCCTGTAGTATAAAATTTGAACTTAGTGGTCAGATAAAAAGAAGGTAAAATTTGAGCTTAGTGATCAAATGATAAATTTAAGTTAGGTATGTTTTTTATTACAGAATCTTATTAAAACTCAAATCTTCATATCTAAATTAGGTAAATTAAAATAAGCTATGTGTGTACACACATACCACATTTTATTTATCCATTCATCTGACAAGGGGCACTTTGATTCCATATTTTGGCTATTTTGGACAGTGCTGCTGTAAACACAGTGGAGCAGGTATACAATGAGTTCATGTCTTTTCAGTATATACACATTACTGGGATTGCTACATCGTACGGCAGATCTATTTCTACTTTAAAAAAACCAGTCTCCATACTGTTTTCCACTGTGACCACACTGATTGACATTCCCATCAACAGTGTTTGAGATTTCCCTTTCTCCACATCCTCACTAGCATCTGTGCTTTCTGACTTTTTGGATAATAGCCATTCTGTCAGGGGTGAGAGGACATCTCATGGTTTTTATTTGCATTTTCCTGAATGCAAGTTATATTCAGTGTTTTTCATATGTCTGTTGGACCTTTGTATTTTTTCATTTGAGTAATTTCTGTTCTGGTCCTTTGCCAGTAGATTGTTTTATATTTTATATTATATAAACAATATTATTGTTATTTGCCTATAAAAATAAAATTCTATAATTTGTAGCGAAGTGGTTGAAACTGGAGGACATGATACTGAGTAAAATAAGCCTGACACAGAAAGCTAGATACCACATGTTCTCCCTTATATGCGGGAGCTGAAATTTAAAAATAGAAATTCTTTCAGTTCTGTGGCATATAGAATATTTTGTCAAACTTTGTTGTAAATATTTTTCTGGCATATTAATAGGAATTATATACTACTATGTAATAGTAAAGATTTGTTTTAAAATCAAAGTTGACTTTATATGAGTGAAGAGGATCTTTTAAGAAAAAATT